AAAACCCTAATTCAGACCAACCAGGAGCATTCTAATCCCAGGAGCATTCTAATCACAATTAGGAATTCAAAACCCTATAAACAGAACAATAACATAATATACTGTTTGTGGAAACTACAAGCTTATGAAAAGATACTGGAAGATATAGACTTACAGACTTCTCCCTTGACGTCTCTTTGAGTATTCCATCCTCTTCGATCTCCACGTTTGTAACTCCCCTTGGAGCTGGGGTGATACCGGACAGATCAAACTTTCCTAGCTAGATGCAACCTTGGTCAGGGGTTTTGCATCCCTCCCACTCAAAACCTCTCTCTATGTATTTCGATCTCTCTGTATTTCAATCACTCTCTGTATTTCGATCTCCATCTCTTTGTTGCATTCCTTGTCCAAGGATTGTATCGAGCTAGGAATATCGGCAACATCGAGGACAGCGTATACCGAAGATAACGAAAAGTCATCTCTTCTAGTTGGTACTAATAGCACCCCCATTACGTACAAAATAAACGTTTGAAGAAATAGATCACCGCTATCTTTCATCTCCGACAAAGCCTTCCGCATTAAGCTTGTCGAAATCGCCTGTCGGGCACAATCAACTGTCGAATACACTCTAAATGGATTCAATTCCTCGGATCTTCGTCCCACTTCTTCACCATTCAAGATGATATCAGTACCTCCCTCAGGCACGCCCATAATTCGCTCGAAATCTTTGGCCGAAATATGGACTTTCAACCCATAAGCCTGAATTGAGCTTTCTTCCACATTAAAGCTCTTCAAAAGGATCTCCAACAACTCACGTTGGAGCATTCTTCCTTTGACTTCAAGCATACGACCAAAGCCACATCTCTTAATGGCCTCTGATTGACAAGCCTGTAAATTTGAGACTAGTGAGAATACTTTCCTAGGAGAACAGCGGGTGCTAAAAATTTCATGACTCTTCGTCTTCATTGTAGAACAATTTTAGCAAACTGCAAAATTAAAACAACAAAAAAATTATAAGCATGCCTTGAAACACGAATTATAAGCATGCCGAAGAGTACTAACAAAATACACAAAGCCAGAGTCGTCCACCACTGATCTAAAGAAGCAACTTTCAGTTTTCACACTTAAACACATTCGAGAAAACGTGGTTATGACAAAGTTTCATTCGAGAAAAGGATCATTTAATCATTCGGTAAACACATTCTCCAGGTAATGAGTTCAATCCTGGTTTTCAATATATGGCTTTTATCAATATTGAACAAATGCAAGACTATACCAGAGCTCACAAGCACACTTGCCTCGATATCAAGTTCTAACTACCAGAAGAACTGAAAACCCCCTACATCAACACCTGAGTACACTAATTAACCATGAAATCCGCCATTGGCATATATAAATTTCACCCAAAACACCCAGCTTCCATTAAATTTCACCCAAAATGCAAATTCTCACGGCCGTGACATGACCCGTGAGAAGCAAAGAGTAGTTTTTATATCCCAGACAATCTCACGGCTTTGGCTACAAAAATCACGGACGTTAAAATAAGGCGTGAAACTAAAAACACCTTGTATGTAAAAATGGACTTCTCACGGCTCATCTTTAAATATCACGGGCGTGAGATTAACCCGTGATATGGGCACAACTGAAACTCAAAAACACGCCTCACATCTGAAAATCTCACGGCCGGGAGATGAACCGTTAGATTTTTTTAAAAAAAGGGGGAATTCCAGGGGGTTTCACGGGTTGGGTTCGACAGTATCACGGCCGTGAGATGAGCCGTGTTTGTGTAATTGAAATGCTGGACTTCTCACGGCTCATCTGTTAATCTCACGGGCGTGAGATCAACCCGTGAGATGGTCACAGCTGAAACCCAAAAAACACGCCTCACAACTTAAAACTCACGGCCGGGAGATGTGCCGTTAGAATGTTTTTTCAAAAAATGTAAGTTCCAGGAGGTTTCACGGGTTATATCACGCCCGGGACAAAAACCGTGAGATGGAACCCTCAAATTGGAAACACCCTATTTACTTCCTCTTTTCTACTTGAACCCGACCCCCAACCGTGAAGAAAGCAGCTAAAAGGTTGTCCAAAAAGAATAAACATCATTTAGCAAGTAAAGCAGGAGGCACGGAATGTACAATAAAGACTAAAACTGGGAGTAACTCCCAAGCTGCCGTATATTCTAAGGCCAACAACCATGCTCTAAATATCCTAACTAAGTTTGACCTTAATGTCTCATCATTCATGGAAGTTCTTTTACCCACTGCACTAAACTTCTTTTCTACATTATATACACAATTCTAACTCCACAGACAGTCCCTTCGGATACATCCGATAACTCCACAAACAGAAAACTCATACTATGAAGTGAACAGTTAAGATAAGCACCCATTTCTGTTGGTTAATCGCATGCTTGGAGCCACTAACCATAGCAAAGAGACTTAAATCAATCAAACAAATCATGGTCTTCAAACTTAACTACATTCATCAATTGGCTAAACAGAGAAAAATTCCCAACTTTCTCAGTGAACACGGCCTTTCTATCTACCATATCATATCATATCAATCCTCCCACGAAGAAGATGGAAGAACTACAACAACAACATCCATCCAAAGCTTCCTCACCAAAGGAAGCATCATCAACAACCACAACCGCAACCACAACAACAACAACCACAACTGCTGTAAATTCTTCAGACTCGAATTCTTCTACCCTAACAACAGAAGAACCCAATGCTCCTCCTCAACAGAAGAAGATTGAGGAACAACAACAACAACAACAACAACAACAACAACAACAAGAGCCTGCTAAGGATGTTGCTGAAACGGAGACAAATCAAGCACAACCTCAACAGCAAAAACAAGGTGAAGAGAAGGTAAATGCTGCAAATTCTCCTTCAAAACAAGTGAAGGAACAACAGGAACCGCCATTGCAGCTAATTATCAAGCTAAACACAAAGAAGATAGTACTAACCGAAAAAGTTGCGGTGGAGGAGGGGTTTTGTGCAGAGTCTTCGTTAGCTATCGATGGGAATTCACTAGTCAATTGTTCTGGTTCGTGGCATTTCCTATCCAGCACTAAGTTAGTAGGAGGGGGAAAATTGGAAGCACAGAGATTCAATTGAACTGCTGTCAAAAACTAGAACGAAGTAAACGATACATGGAATAGAATTCAAGAGTAAAAAGTTGCTTACAGATAACCAACAAACAAATGATTTGGGAGAGATTTATCAAACTCCTGGGTTCGCACTGCAGAGCATACCCTGAGACAGCGACCGCGAGCTGGTGGAATCGATGCCGACACGGCGGGGAGTGAAGCGGGAGAAGCGATTGAATAGCACCCAGCTGAGCAATTGGCCTTGAGAATGTGGAAGAAAGGCGAGCTGGGAAAAGAGAAGCGGCCGAGGTGGGCGTGGGTTTGACGCCGGCGGTCTTCGTTTGCAATCGACGAAGAGATGCTCGCTCTCGTCGTCCCTTGCTCGCCGCCTTCACTGTCGTCGTCGGAATCCGGAATCCGAATCGCCGCCTTCACTGCCGCCTTCTATTCGTCGTCACCCACTGCTCGCCGTCTTCACTCGTCGTCACCCACTGCGTGGAGAGGATCGCCGTCTTCACTGCTCGCTAGCTGCGTGGAGAGGATCGAAGGAAGGAAGAGGATCGAAGAAAGAGGGGTTTCGGCGGTGAGAAGAAGAGGGGTTTCAGAAAACCGGTTGTACCGGTCATCAACACACAAATAAAATAATAAATTAATAATTTAAATGAAATCTAATGGTTGATATAGTTTGGACATGATCTAATGGCTGTAAATGTTTTATAGTACCAATACTATAAAGCACACTAAAATGCCTCAACTTGGATACCCTGTGTAGAGGAACAAATTTGAGTTCTAAAAAGGTAGGAATATATGAAGCAAAATCAAGCAGGACAGGTGAAGAGAAGAATATTTTGCTGTTCTAAAGAAGGCGAAAAAGGTTTTGATAAAAGGTGTGATCGTGTGGCTTTTGAGCGACTAATTTCAAGAATCGGATGTTTGGCACATATGCAATGCCAACTAAAAAATGATGGCTTGCTAGAGATTGATTCTTTTGAAGCAGATCATAACCATGAACTTGCCCCCCACTCCCATGAAGCACGTACATGTCACTACAAAAAATAGAGGCTTCAACGAGGGAAAAATTAGCGAGGGGAAGAAAGGCGGACGGTGAATGTAACTTTCTGATTTTCACTATATAATTAACGAGGGTCATTTATGTTCTCTCGTTACTATGATAACTTACCCTCGTTATTGTCGAAAGACAGTCAACAATGGCCGGGAGTCCCCTCGTTGATGTCCCCAAAAATTTTCAGAAATCCCGCCCAACTTATTTCCTCTTTTCGTTGATTCCGGGCAAAATATACTTGTATAGCCAAAACTTTGACGGTTTGGCCAAATATAGCCACTTTTGGCAAAATACGAAAAATAACCACTTCCGTCCAATTTTTTGACGGTGTTATGCTACATTCTGACCGGACAAACGATGACGGTTGAGGTGGCAACATTTAGTCAATTGACTTTCCACGTGGATTTAACTAAAAAACAAAAAGAAATAAATAATGAAAGGGGGTAAAGGAAAAGTCAAACTTTCCATCTTTTTTTCCGTTGAATAAACTTTATATCTTCTCCATCTACTTTCTGGGTTTTTGTTTCTCTAAAATTAACAAAGCAACTCAAAGGGGAAAGGAATTTCGGCTCTATCCCCCGGTTAACCTCTCTTTGTCATGGAAGAGTTTTTGAGTCTCAGAAGTGCATATGTGATGGTGGTTTCTGATGATGCGTCCCCTGTAGCGGAAGTGGAGAATCAAATCTCTAATTTCCGAGTTTCGTCGCCAGAGATTTGAGCTTGGAAAATGAACTGTTGGCCGCTATGGCGAATCGGAGGAATATTTGGAGTTGGGAAAGTCGAGTGGCTTCACTTCGCCGGCAACGATGAGGAACTCCCTTACCAAAATTTGGCTCGATTTTGTGCCCAGATCTCCCCATTTCAAGCTCCCAATGCTGCCACCAGCCACCGCGGTCTGTTTCCATGTCCGCTTCCTTGACGCCACCATGCAATCATTGAATCCGTCGTTGTGCCATCTTCACCGTCTCTCTCGTCTCCCTCTCCGTAACTCCTTCGTCTTTGTCTAGTGGGAGATGGGATGGATCTGGCCTCCCGAGAAAAGAAAAAGGAGAAGAAGGGATGGATCTGGCCGCCATCTTCCGTCGCGCTCTCTCTCTCTTTTGAATCGCCGATTCGAGCTCCCTCACCGCAACAACCTCTTCCGTCGGAGAGGTGTAGCTTCGTTGGTGAATCTGACACCGATCCCGAGCAGGACGCGACGCCGCGCAAAACAATAGAAGGCTTCCAATCGCTCACCACTGTTTGCTCGGCGGCGGCGGTACCATTCGTGATCGTTCCCCTGATTTTGCCTGCTAAATCGATATTCGATTTTACATTGTCGGCGGCCAGTTGCAGAAGACGACGATGGTGTGAGAGGAGAAAGGACGACAACATGGAGTGGTGGGAGAGGAGAGAGGATGAGAAAAATAATTTATTATTTTATTTTTATTTTTAAATTAAAATATGACATGGCATACATGCGACAAGTGTTGTTGAGTTATCGATCACGTGTCCGGTGAGTTGGCAACCAGGTAAGCATTCCGTTAATTTGACTAACGGTGACATTGACGCCGTTAAAATATGTAACAGAAATGGTTATATTTTTCATAAAACTTTCAAAATTCTGGCTATATTTGGTATTTCCTCAAAAATGGCTATTATTATCACAAACGTGAAAGTTTTGGCTACACATGAATTTTGCCTTGATTCCGCCCAAACATATTTCGGGACCGGATAAAATATTGGATAAAGACCGCATAAGAGAGTTCAACACCCAAAACTTAAGGGTAATTTGCATAAACGGTCACAAACCTTTGCACTTAGTACAAAACTTAACCAACTCCTCACCCTTTCAGGCCTTAGGCCACTCAAATCCCCATAAGTTTAATATAAAATCAAGACCGAATTGGGACCGGACCGGTTCAAGACCGGACCGGATCAAGACCAGACTGTATCCATTCCAATCTTTGTTCCTTATATTTTCAAATAGACCGGACTGGACCGGATCATTTTGGGCCAATTTAATCGGACCTGACCGTTTAGCCACCCTACTTGATAGGCGTGTCTTGATTCCTCGATATGAATTTAAACTTTTTTTTGAACCCTGATAAATAATAATGAACAAACAACTCACCATCGAAAGAAGAGTGCAATGATTGGTTACCAACCCTTAATACATCCAACGCATGTACGTACGTAAGTGCGAGGGTCAATTGATAAAGAAACTTCTCAACCAAACACATACAGCGGCGGATCGAAGACGATTATGAATCATCATCATTCATCGTTGGTCCAAATATAATGGTGAATCGCAATCATTCATATTCTACCATAAATGGCAAAGCTATGCCGCTTGTGGTTACAAATGATTAGTGATCATCATTAAAACTTAAGAATAATCAGATATCGTAAGTGAACTTAATGAAAATCGATTAGCTGGCGACTTTTAGCTATCAATGAAGAGTCATCATGTTAGTGCCACTACAACAAAACTGCTGTTTAGCGACGGTTTTTTCAACAGTTAGTGACGGTCACAACCGTCGCTAAAACATTTATCGACGGCCAACTGACCGTCGCTGACTCAGCAATCCTTAAATAATTTAGCGATAATTTTGGTCGACCGTCATATACACCGTCGTTATATTTAACTACGAACCGTCGTTAAATTGAAGAAAAATTGTCGCCAAACTGATCATTCACAAAAGTATCTTCGCATTTAGCAACACTCAAGAATGTCGCTAAAGGTAATTGACCGTCGCTAAATTGTCAGGACTTTTCTAGTAGAAACCTGCTCTAATAATTACCTTTTGCCTGGGTAACTTTTCCAAATATGAATATTTAACAATTTAAACTACAAAAACCAATATGACTTAGAGACTTTATATTAACCTCTCAAAATTTGATAATAAACCCATCAATACTCAACACAAATATCTCCCAATCAGCATTCGAAAACTACCAAATCAGCATTCTAAAGTATAACAAGCTATTAGCTCCTTAATACTACCAAATCCAGTCATCCTTGAAGCAACAAAAACAAACTCCAGCACTACAAGGAACAAAAAGAATCAAATTAAAGACCACATTAGATCGTATTTATAATATTTATGAAACCACAAACAACACTTCATACCTTTTCATCTGTAGTAGATCAACTTCCTTCATTAACTGGAAGCTCTGCAGAAACAACAACATAAATAAATAAAAAAGTAATAGTGAAGATTCCATATAACCACAAACAGCAACTTGTACAAGTAATGTTGGTGACTGTTAATTACTAACCATCCGACCCTTAGGTTGTGGTCTACCTCCATCACTTCAATGCTAGCTCAGGAGAAAATTATAAGCATTCATGATTCAATCATAAATAACCATTTTCACACAAGTCAAGAGTATCAGAGTGTCAACTCCATATCTCCATCTGCATAGATAGTCGGGATTATATCAGTTTATGGGTGAAACTAGGAAGAAACCTTGAGGCAAGTTCACACACTAACATGAGTGAAGACAAACAGTACCTTCAAGCCAAAATCAACAGCCCCTCTTTTTGCATCCCCTGTTGCCAAAACCAGCAGCTCCTCCCTATTGCATCCCCTATTGTCAATACTCATTCACCAAAAGATATTAAATTCATCAATACAAGAAAAGAGAGAAAAGTACGAAGCAGATCCGTCCCGAAAGGTAATGCTACTACGCATTAATGAAGGCTTTTTCATGATATGTAGGGCAAATAAAAGAAAACTTACTAGTCCTTTTCCCCCCTTGCTGCTGCAAGTGAACCAGCAACACCAATTCCCTCAGCATATAAATGTTGAGGGAGCATATAAATGATTACTACTTATATTGTTAATCAACAAACCCGCTACCACCAATTCCCTCAGCATTAGACTCAATTAATGCTGCAAAGCGAGTATAAACTGCCCGTTAATCTGCAACATTCTTCAGAGAAAACAAGCTGAATTTCAGGAGTGCAATGTGCTATCATAGAATGTAAACCAGAATTTTGCTACTAGAAGAAGAATACCTGGAACTGCGCCAAATTCAAATGAGGAAAGGGGGATCATTAGTGGCTCCTAGTTTCAGAAGACGCAGCCATAAGCCCTGTTAAACAAACATTAATAGATTAATCCCATAATTAGTAGTGTGATCCTACAAGAAGACTGTTAATTGCAAGATGGAAAGTAGGAGACCAATAGTTCGAGGGTATGTTGGAGTGATAAGATACTTTGATTGAGCTGGGAATCATAGTTCACATGACAACATTGACAAATAGTTTAAGTTCAGTCCCAATAAGAGTTGTCATGCACATTTCCCAAATTTTCTGTGTTAGGGGAAGAATGAATAGTAATTAACAGGTTAACCAACAATCGAAACAAAAAAAAAAAAAAAAAACTTGGTTAACCAAGTTTTCTCCCCCACACAGGACAAGTATACAAACAGCTTTTGGATTGTCTACTTCATATGTAATCATATATACAGCTAACAGAATAGGAAAAAGAAAAATATAAGTATAGGTATATACATCACAGAGATACAGCCCTCCCATGGCCGAAGCCGATACACAAGTTTCCTTGATTACTTTCATCCTTAATTAGTTCTTCCTTTAATCACTAAACTAAGCATTTTCTGTAGGTTAACATTCATCAGAAGCGGAAGGCAATTCAGTTTACCTTCATGTCTTGCCATGAAGCAGAGGAGGCAATATGTGATAGGCGAAGAACTTCTAATCTTCCTAACGGATGAAGATTTTGGTAATTCCAAGCAAAAACTGAACGAAATTTAGAGAAAACATCAGGGGCAGAAGGTTTTAGATGTGAATATTATAGAGGAAAGGTTGAAATAGAATAACGATAACTTACGAAATAAGTATGATGGAAATGTGAATACCTGATAACCATGAGGAAGATCAAGAGCCATTATTCTGTTTTGAGGTTTCACCAAGGCAGTGACCTGATAGAGGCTTCACATTGACTACAACATGGAAGGGGAGAATGAAGTCGCAAACATTGATAACATAAGTTGATTGCAAAACTCAATTGATTGAGCATTTGCCATACGGATTAAAGATACAACTCATGTGCATTTATGATCTCAAGGAGTTCATACTGATTAACTTTCAAACAAACTTGCATCAAATCAACTCAAATATTGTTGTAAACGCCGAATGAGCAAAGTAATAAATGTACCTTCCATTGACGAGCTTTTTCATGCTCAATAATATCAGCAATCTCAGAATCCACTACTTCTAGCATGCACTGAGCTGCTTCGCCACTGCAGAGCAAGGGGAAAACAGAAAACAAAGTAAATCAAGAGAAGACGGGGTTACTTGATGAATCCAATCACCAAATGGACGTATCAAAAGCAATTTAAAATAGCTGGAGGCTTAGGTGAAGTCGGGCTTCCGCTTCTCTTAATCACCTTCATTAGGCAAGATTAAACGAGAGGTGTGTTCTAATTCTACAATTTGCAATTGAAATGTAGAAAATCCAGAGTCCGATTCCCTCATGGATTAACGATTGCTAAGAGCTAAAAAAAGCCTATCTGCTTATCCGCAGTTCCAAGTGGAAGGAGAAAGGTCGAATTCCACCAAAATTGAAAAACCCCCAATTTTGGTATCGAACCCTAGCACCACCCTAAATCCACAAGATATGCAAGAATTTGATATTAAACCGTAGAAAGAGGAAGATTTTGCTCACTTGGTACTCAATCGGGAAAACCGAATACGGAAGGAATCGGAGGCCGCCACTGGGGAAGAAGACCTCCTTGACGAATTTCACAAATAGATCGAGGGGGTTGGAGATTGAAATCCTTAATTAGTTCTTCCACCGCCAGCAGATCTCTTCCGGGAATGCAGTTGGTCCTGTTAGAAGTAGCTAGTGAGAAGCCATTCAAAGCAGCGAACGAACCTCTTGGATTTTTTCAGAGTCGCATGCGAACGATTTGGAGGAGGCTGGCTTCGGTTTTTTGGATTGACTGAATCTGGGAGCCCTTTTCTTCAAATTCAAAAAAACTGTGCATCGTAGACGTCGAGGCAGGGGAGCTTGGCATCAGGGAGATCCTCGCCGGCGGAGGTCACTGCAGAGAGATTGCGATGACGATACAGAGTGAGGATTAGGTCTGGAGGAATTTTACGGGAAATGAGTTCCTTTCTTTATTGAAAGAATCGAGGGGAGGATATATGAGGAGAGAGAAACTCCAGAATCACTACTTTTTATATAAAACATAAAAGAAAAAAGGAATAAAATATGATAAAAATCCGGAGATAGGATAAATTTATCGACGGGCAAAATTTGCCGTCAAAACCTACGCATTTAGCGACACCCGTGATGAGCGTCACCATAAAAATGTCAGGAAGTCTATGTTTTCTTGTAGTGTGCAATCATTGTCTTAACATTAAATAAAGTACACAATGAAATTGCAAACTCCACGAGTTCAGCTGATGAGGAATGGATCTGATGATACACGCATGGCACTGTTATGTAATTATGGAGATGAAGAAAAGGAAGATGTCTTTACAGGTATACAATGATGACTGATTATAAATCGGAACGGGACAGGTCTATATATTTAAGCTCAATATACAATATCCCTAATATATATATAGCTGGGGAAATCCCTCCACTGTGTCATCATAAAAAAGGGTAATGATCTAATTATATGTTATTATAACAATTCACGTGCCTGCATGGGATTACGCTAAACTCGAATTTTAGGGCTGGGGCCAGAAAGAATTATCTGTGCGTAGAGGTGGCAAGTGAGATCCATATCCATTTATCCAATTCAATCCAATCCATTTAAAATGGATCCAAATCCATTTAAGTTGATCCAAATCCATTATATCCATATCCATTTGATCCATGGATTGGTGGATTGGATTCATGGATTAATGGATTGATCCACCAATCCATTAACATATATTATTTTCTTTATTCATTTTATAATATATATTCTAATATGAAAAAAAACCCTGCTCTTAGACTTTCACTACTGTCGAGTGTCGACTCCTACATCCTACTCCAAATATTCTCTCTGATCCCACAAAAAAAAAAAATTCTCTCTGACGAGGCGACGACGAAGAGCAGAGCCGGCGATCTCTCCACCGCCTGCTCTCCATGTCCAAATCCACCCTGCCGCCGTCCCAATCGACCTCTCCACCGCCTGCTCTCCCCTGAGTCTGAATCGGATCCAACGTCGCAACTCCCATCTTGCGAATCGACCCTCCTCCAGCGCCGGTGAAATCTCCGCCGCCTGGCTCTTCTAGAACCCATCCTGCGAATCGAACTCTCCACCAGCGCCGACGAAATCTCCACTGCTTGGCTCTTCCATTTGAGAACCCATATGCAAAATCGACCCTTCTGCAGATAATGAAGATGGCTCCTCCTGCGAATCGACCCTCCTCCAGCGCCGGTGAAATCTCCGCCGCCTGGCTCTTCTAGAACCCATCCTGCGAATCGAACTCTCCACCAGCGCCGACGAAATCTCCACTGCTTGGCTCTTCCATTTGAGAACCCATTTGCGAAATCCACCAGTATGTGCTCTGTTTAGGGATTTATGGTTGTTGATTTGTGTTTTTTCTTAACAAGCTCTCTGATCTGTTTAGGGATTTATAGTTGCTACCTAGTGAAAGTATGCAACTGGTAGTCTACCTGTTCGATTCTCTGTGTTGAATCTGTTGGCTGAAAAACATTGATCGGTCGCTAATCTGATGGACCCTTCTTGCGGATAAAGTCATATGTCGTTCTTGTTAGAATTTCCCCCCTCCATTATAGAGCTTTCATACCTGCTTGGTTTGTGTTTGAGTTTGCTATAGTCTTCCAATCTTTTTGGTGGTTGATCTTTGATTCTGCTTCTTCATCTCTTTTCATTTGCTCTTGGTCTTCTGTGCTTATACAAATAGTGTTTGACTTTGAAATATTTGATCAATGTTTACCATTACCCTCCTAATTCTGGTATATAGTGCCTTGATTCTCAGATGCAGGATTGAAAGATATTAGAGTGATTGGGGAATAGAGATTTTCTTTTTCTTGTGGAGAGTGTGTATTCAGGAGGAGAGATTATAGACTCTTTGCTTTTGGCTTACTGTCTTGTGGAATTACTTGGGCTATCCTGATCAGTCAAGTGATTGTTTATTTGCTCAATGAAATGAAATCATCTGTGAACTCTCTTCTGTGTGAGGATACGCATCTACTTCCATGGAAGGCTAAGACAGCTTTGTAATGATATTTTGCTCTTCCTTTCATCCTTCAACGTTTAATTGCTAAATGTATTAAGCTTACATTTCCAATCTAGTTTTTCTGCAAGTTTAGTTTTCATATTGAATATGGAATCTCTGTCTAGGACAGTTGGTGGAAACTCTGGAAAACATGTAGCTAAGTTAGAGGATTTGGATTGGAATATTCCAATTTCTGGGAATCATATTAGGTAGGTGGGCTAACTAACAACTCTATTGTCATAGTTAGCTTGAACAATTGGCCTTCATTATCATTAAAAATTAATATCTACATATGCCTTTTGGTGCTATGATGTGAAATTTTATTCTTCGTATTCTAGAAGTTGATTATGTAATCATAATATATGATTGGATGGTTCTAAATCACCTGTTAGCTCATTTTTATTAGCTACTGTAGCTGCAATCTTGCCTTGACTAACTAAAGCACAACAGTGATGCTAACTCGTCTCATGTACAGCATCTCTGCTGATATTAGTTTATTGTTACTGCAAGTAGTTTTACATGCACCTAGCCTTGTTGTGTTAATGACTTTTGCAGTTTGCTCATAAATGACTATTTTAGCTTTCATGGACGTGGTTGTTTGATCAGGGGCTGCCCTTGCTTTAGAAAACAAGAAGACTAATTTGTTGTCATTTGATTGTGATTTCATTACATGGATTGATTTCAGGATGCCAACACAAGAAAGAAATACCATGGACGTTGGTGATGGTAGGGATGGTAGTGATGGTGGTGATGATGATGTAGCAACGATGTCTACATCTACAGATCGTACAAGTGGTTATAAAAAGCGAAAAAGAACTTCCAAGGTGTGGGAAGATTTCGATTTTATTTCCGCAAATCACTTTCCCGACAAGGTACCAAGAGCACAATGCAAGAATTGTCCAAAGAGTTATGTGGCTGGTAAAGGTATTTCAAATCTCTCTCGCCATATCCATAAGTGTGTTGGAAAATTGGCAAAAAAATCAATCGAAGTGCCTATACCTAGTGCTGGAAAGTCAAAGACAATAGATCAAAATGAGTTTAAGGAGCTAATGGCTATGGCTATAATAAAACATGGATATGAATTTTCAGTTGTTGAGCATGGTGGACTTCAGAATGTGATGGCTTATTTAAATGATGATTTCAAGTCATTTACTCGGAACACTGCTAAGTCTCATTGTTTGAAGATTCATAAGAGGGAAAAAGAGAAGTTGAAATCTCTTTTGAGTGGGATTCCTGGTAGGATTTCTTTGACTTGTGATTTGTGGACTTCTTGTGCTACTGAAGGCTATCTTTGTTTGACGGTACATTATGTGGATTCTCATTGGAAATTAAATACTAAGATCCTAAGTTTTTGTCATGTTCCTCCTCCACATTCTGCTATTGTTTTGTACCATGCAATATATGATTTGTTGAGAGAGTGGCAAATTGAGAAGAAAATATTCTCGATTACATTGGACAATGCTAGGTGCAATGATGTCATGCAAGGTCTTTTACTCGACCAATTGAAAGAAAATGGGACAGTAGTATGTGATGGGGATTATTTTCATATTCGTTGTGGTGCTCATGTTTTGAACCTGATTGCAAACGAAGGATTAAAAGAGATTCGTGCATCTATAGATGTTATTAGGGAGTGGGTGAAGTACGTCAAGGGGTCTGAATCTCGAAGGATAGTTTTTGAAGATTGTGCAAAGAGAAGTAATTGTCTGAGTTCTAAAGGATTATGGTTAGATTGTCCAACCAGATGGAACTCTACATACATGATGCTTGAGAGAGCGGATCTTTATCGTCGTGCTTTTCAACATATGAGGCTGGTTGACAGAAATTTTGAGATGCTCGTCAGATGTAGAATGGGACAAGATTGAGAAAATCATCAAGATTTTGAAGCCTTTTAATGACATCACGAAGCTTTTTTCTGGGGTCCATTATCCTACTTCTAACCTGTATTTCTGCAATGTGTGGAGGATTCAAATGCGGTTGATGAATGCATGTGAAAGTGTGGATAGTGATATTTGTCGTATGGCTATAGCGATGAAGGGCAAGTTTGATAAGTATTGGGAGTCCTACAGTACAATTTTGTCCATAGCTGTGGTCTTTGACCCACGGTATATGTTGGATTCTGTGAAATTTTGTTATGAGAAGCTATATGGGCAAGTTGTTGCTAAAACAAAATGTCTTGAGCTTCGAGGAAAGATATGTGATCTATTGAAGGAGTACAATGATTCTACCGATCAATCATCATCACTTGATGAGTCTATTGCTGAAGATATAGGCTATGAAGATGATATGGATGTAAGTAAATCTACTTTTCTAATTATCTTTATCTTAATGCATTTGTATTACTAAAATGAGTTTTTGTTTCACAGGAGTTCGAATCGTTTGGGGAAAGTCAATTCTTGAGTGATAGGACACAATTAGATGAATATCTGGATTGTAAAAGGCTCAATCGCAAACAACCGTTGGATGTTCTTTTATGGTGGAAGACGAATGAATCTCGATTCCCAGAGCTTGCTTGTGTGGCTAGAGATGTTTTGAGCATTCCTATCACTACTGTAGCTTCAGAGTCGGCCTTCAGTATGGGAGGTAGAGTTCTAAGCAACTTGCGAAGCTCTCTTTTGCCTGAAAATGCCGAAGCTTTGATTACCACACGCAATTGGCTATATGGATTTCCAAGTAAGCTAATTAAGGATATGGTTTATTTGATAATAACTTAATCTAATACAGTTTATTTAGTAACATTTGAATTGCTTGATGAAGGTGATGATCGTGATAATGGGCTCGAGGTGGAAATTTCAAAGGCGGTCGGAACATCCTCAATGACTTCTAGCTCTACTCCTGTGTGAAAATTTGGGTTTTATGCATAAGTCAACGTTTGGTTCTTAATGTTCATGATGTTGGTTTGAAACTACTCGAATGTCATGTTGTTCATCCTTTTTTTGCTGGTCCTGGACTTGTAGCATCCATATCTGAATTGATTAAAGCTTCAGGAAAGTAGCCCGCCGTTTCCAGACTGAAAACAAATATTTTCCCAATTCCTCCAGATAGTGACCAATCCAAATCAATTAATGACTCAGCAATCTTTCAAAGCTTCTTGGTTATGTTTAATTAGGCCGAGTCTCTGTTAGCTTGGAAATTTGGGTTTTATGGGTGTTCCATGAAAGAAACAGAGATGAATCCGGTGCGTTCCATTAGGGGAGCCTTTTTCCCTTTGTTTAATTGCGGAAGGAATTAAACAAAATCCATTTGGATCCGATCGGGGCATTTTGTAAATGAAAGGACGATTTATTGTTGTGGATCCACGGATCCATTGGATCCGATCCACGAATCCACGAATCCATTGGATCCGATCCACGAATCCATGAATCCATTTGGATCCGATCCACGAATCCACGAATCCACGAATCCGATCCACAAACCCACGAATCCGATCCAATTGCCACCTCTATCTGTGCGCAAGATAAGGTAATGGGCAGGGGCGGACCCGGGGTTTAGGGGTATCCCCGAAACCTCTAAATTTTGAGAAAACCATTATCCAATCCTCGGTGGCAATTTACGTATGGAAAAAATAAAAAAAACATAATTGATAGTGAAGACACCCCTTAAATTTGAAAAAATTATTATCCTACTGTCATTTGTGTATAGTAATATAATTGGTAGGTTGGCTAATTTAAATTTAGAACACTATTATTATTAATAAACTTAATTTCCGTTGAGTTAAACTCATTTGTTATTCGATTTTGAACAATGTGTAATAGTAAAATGACATTTCCTGTCTCTAATTATTTTAAAAACCTAACAATTAAACTAATTTCAAACTACCCTTAATTTGTATTGATTTTATGATTGTACGGCAAGTGTTGAAAGAGTCTTTCAACTTTGGGTTACATCAAGAACAAGTTTACAAATTGAATATGCGATAAGTTTGTGAATGATTGTCTAGTAGTGTATATAAAGACAATTTTTAAACACTATAGACACCAAGTGTATTCTACAATTATTTCCGAATATGAAAATACATCATGGACTTTTTTAACCTGTACGAGTAAGGTATTTCATATTTACAATTTTATTTTTATTAATTATTTTATTTTTATGGGTCCGCCACTGGTAATGGGCATCTTGAAAGAATCTTAAATGTATGGCTTGGGATAGTGTCAGTATTTTTTACTGAAATATGAGTAACTAAATCGGAACATTTAGATCTAAGTGGACTCAGAAATCCAGATCTAAGTGTTGTTAATTAAAGGCATTTTATTTTTCCTAGTTTTCATAATCGGCTCTTATCTTCATCGTTCTAACTCGGATTTCATATCTTTTTGCACAGATGGAATGAGTTCGTTGTGCTCTACAAAATGATATCAATTTTCAATAATATATTTCGAGAAACTTTTTTTTTACCAACTACATACCATATGGTAACTTCTTTGTTTTTAAGTCGTTTTTGAAAACGTTTGCTCAGAAGGAACGAGTTCATCATGATTTATTGGATCTATAAATTTCTGGGTGAAAAAAATACTGGATAAAAAATTACCATACTTTACCACTATGGTATGTGGGTGGTAACTTGTATTAAATAATGATGAAAGTCGTACATGACAGTTAATATACTCCTAGTATCATGTATTCAACCTTCTTACCATATTGGTATGGTCACACCATTATGGTACGCTTTCTTATCATATAGTATTAAATAAGAGTAAACCATATGGTAATGATTCAATTTTTTTTAGTACTAAAAATATATCAAAGTAAATTTCATTTTAAAGAGCACATTTAATATGATTTATCTGTGAAAAAAAAAATTGACTTAAAACAAGAGAGAAATCGTCCGTTAAAGATTAAAGAGTTAAAGACAAAAGACCTTTCAGGAGAGAGGAATATTGATATCATGCTGATATGGACGAGTTACTCATGATTACTGACCATAAAATTACTGACGTGATCCGTTCTCTAATTATATATCTTCCTTTTCCATTTCCGTTTCTATAAATAACTAAATCTAAAAAGGGACTCAATTAAAAAAAAAAGTTAAAATATAACATATAATAAAGAGACTAATACCCCCAGCGGCCCAGCCCGATCATCACTCGCAATCGCAAGTCCTGGATTTTCCTGACAGTCGACCAAACGGCAGAGGGCTCCGTCAAGTCCGCACATTTAGCGCCAGCAGAAGCTGGCCGTCATTAAGAACTTGTCGCTAGATTACCCATTTCTTGTAGTGATGCATATAACACACATAAGAGTACAGAAATCCACAGTTTATTAAGTAGTTGGCAACTGATCATGATCAGTACGTACCAATTAAATACACAACAACAACAGAACACACACGTATGTAGAAGATGCATGCATGCAGAGATGCAGGAGGAATATTCAGAACAAACAAATATGCCAACCCAGGCCAGGCCAGAAGAGGAATATTCATGGCAGATCCGATAATTGATTATACGAAGGAACTGAGAGCATTCTTGAGGTTAGCGATCTGCTTGTCCTTGGCGGCAAGTTGATCGTCTTTCTCCTGTGCCTGCTTCTTCAGCTCCTCGACCTCCTTCTTGGCAGCAAGCTGGTCGTCCTCTTTCTCCTTGGCCTGCTTCTTCAGCTCCTCGACCTCCTTCCTGGCGGCAAGCTCCTTCTCCTTGGCCTGCTTCTTCAGCTCTTCGATCTCCTTGTCCTTCTCGGCCTGAAGCCTCTGGTTCTCCTTCTCCTCCAGTTCCTTCTTCGCCTGTGCCGAGCCCGAGCCCGCCCCCACCATGAGCTTCCCGGTGGTGAGCTCGAATCGGTCCCACGTGGTCTCCACGGGGACGGGGACCTGGACCCCGTGCTTGGACCAGTCATAGAGGTCGTTGAGGCGGCGCAGGACGCTGTTGGGCCTGATGTTGGTGCTCCCGTTGCCAGGGTTGAGCCACGTGACCATGAACCCTTCCCTGTTGACAATCCTCTGCCCCCCGGAGATACCCCTCCTCAGCTCCTCCACCTTCCCGCCGGTGAACGCCACGCCCAGCACTTCCAGCTCCCGGTGGGTGCAGTACTTGTTGCTCCCGACTCGAGCCGCTTGCTTCCAGCTTATGGGATTTCTCGGGACGTCATGGGTGTTGAGATCGGGAGAGTACGCGCCCTCTATCACCCTGATTGTGCCGTCGCTGATGGCCATCAGCCATAGATTGTTGGAGTTCATCACGAAGCGAGACATTTTCCTGATTAATGCGCTCTCTCTTTCACGACCAAACTAGTAATATTTTTTTTATTAATTGCTAGCTTTGCGATGTATTGGTCTGTGTGGTATGGAACCCATGATTTGGCGAGTCCTATATATATAGTGGAAACATTACCCTACTACGTACTCAGGTATTTGCTAACTAATGTTTAGCTGGTGGCCATGTGGGTGTATGATTAGCTAGTGTGATGTCCAGCTTCTCATCCCAGATAGTTACTTAGTTATTGAAAGCTTTAGGCATAAAGCAGTCGTTGGGATCTGGCCAGCGCCTAGCTGCTTGCTCAGATTCGTCTTAGCCTTAGAAGCAAAACTAACGAAATATCTCATAATAGTCTAAAATCACAAGTTTATGAATCAAAAGCATCTTGCTAGCCTCTCGTTTCTATACTGTTATGGGATAATCCAATTACCACATCGAAAATACAAGGGAAAAGACCTTTGTATATAAGTGTCCACCTAGCCCAATTAGTACGAGACTTTTGGGGAGGCTACCCAAAAGTAAGACCGTGCGGGGTTGACCCAGAGCAGACAATATCGTACTAATTGAGCTCATGGAGAAACAAGCGAGGAAGATAGAATAAGCAACAGAATGGCAAAGCAGATTGAGAGGAAAGAAGCACTAAAAAGGAAGAAGACAAGAAATTGCTCCCTTCGTCTCTAATTCTAACTTAACCATTCATATGTCAGTTTCTATAGGTGAGTTCATCTTTCTTTTTTATATTTTTATTCTTAATTTATTTAGCATAATTAAGAACATTAAATATTAATAAAAAAAAGTGAGTCCACCAATAACAAATTGATATGTTGGATAGTTAAAACTTCTGCGTCCAACCAAAGTTGAATTTAAGAATTTTCTCCTATGGAAAAAAGACATTGCAATCAAGAAGCTCTTTTCACCGCTTATGCGTACCCAAAATTAGGTGTTTTCCTTCTTCCTCATGCCAACGAGGTTAAGCCAGCGCCTAGTCAGTAGTCACACTTGTTGAGAACCATATGCACAGCTAACTGATTCATTTATATGTTAAATAAAAAATTTATCTGGGGTCCTACTTATTAATTAATGTCTACTTAATTACTGGGAGAAGGAAAAGATTCCCATATTACACTCTCTTCGTCGCGCCATATTTTAGTTAGTGAATCCAGGATCACGTGGTTAATATCATTCTTTTCATAACTCACGTGGTTAATTATACCAATGAATACAAAAGCACGTGGTTAATTATTAACCCTTTTCCTTATTTGGAATGCTCACTGTCGATATGATCACTTGCATAAGTTTTTTTTTATATATAGAAATTATCACTTGCATAAGTTAATTGGTGATGTTGAGTTGTCTACACCTTTCTAATCATAATGATTCGTGGTGCAACAATAATGAAATATGTTAATATTTTTCAGTAAAACCTATGCTTTCAGGTTGAGACATAATGATATACTCATGACGCCTTATTCACTCCTTAAATGTAGTCAAAACAAGACATTTTGTTCAATCTCGTGTCTAACGAACTTAGACGAGCATCTATGGCTTGAGTTCAAGTCCTTAAGCTACATTCTTTAAGTAAAATCTTAAGGCCTTCCTATTGGCTAATAGTGGATTAGGTAGTTAATGGGGTTAATAGTCAATAGGTAGTTAAGGATAAATGAGGTTATACAAATATAATTAATATTACTAATTAATGATTCTCTTTCTCTTTCCTCCCATGGTTTTCTTCATAACTCTCTCTACGTTATAATTAAAAAGAAATACGAAATTAATTTTATTTAATATTATTATTTAATTGTTAATAAAATCCGAATTTAATATTTTTCCTTTTTTAAAATGGAAAGTTAAAATTTAAAATATATAGTCTCTCTCACATCTTGGCAACTTGCAATTTAGTATCACGTTTTGTGATGACATTATCAACATTTATAAATTGAATCATTATTAGGGCTTTTCGTTGTCTGAGTTTAGGATTTTTCATTGTTAGGTATTCGTTTGTGTTATTATTAATGTTGTTCGACATGCTTTTTAATAATATTATATGACATTATTAACTTTATTAATGTTTTGTTTGTAATATTATTATAGTTATTATAAATATTAACTATAATAATATTTAACTAAATTGATAATACAATGTAATAGTGAATGAAGTTCAAGTACCAACAAATTGAAAACACAATTTGGATTTTGATAATGTTACAAACAAAACAAAACATTAGAAAAGTTAATAATGTCATATAATATTATTAAAAAGCATGTCGAACAACATTAATAATAACACAAACGAATACCTAACAATGAAAAATCCTAAACTCTGACAACGAAAAGCCCTAATAATGATTCAATTTATAAATGTTGATAATGTCATCACAAAACGTTGATACTAAATTGCAAGTTGCCAAGATGTGAGAGAGACTATATATTTTAAATTTTAACTTTCCATTTTAAAAAAGGAAAAATATTAAATTCGGATTTTATTAACAATTAAATAATAATATTAAATAAAATTAATTTCATATTTCTTTTTAATTATAACGTAGAGAGAGTTATGAAGAAAATCATGGGAGGAAAGAGAATCATTAATTAGTAATATTAATTATATTTGTATAACCTCATTTATCCTTAACTACCTATTAACTATTAACCCCATTAACTACCTAATCCACTATTAGCCAATAGGAAGGCCTTAAGATTTTACTTAAAGAATGAAGCTTAAGGACTTGAACTCAAGCCAAGGGAGAGAGAGAAAGATAAACATTAATGAGTAATATTAATTATATTTGCATAATATCTCATTTATTCCAACTAACTATTAACTACTAACCTCTCATTAACTACCTAATCTACTATTAGCCAATTAAAATGGTTTAAGAATCTCCTTAAACAATGAGGCTTAAGGACCGGATCCAACCTGAGCATCTATACGAACTTTTCCAGAACCATATGCACAATTCACTAATTTATTTATATATACAAAATTTATCCGGGGTGTCTGTTTATGGGAAAGGAAAAAGGTTCTCCAAATACACTCCCCGCGTCCCGCCATATTTTATATATTAGAGAATACAAAATCACGTGGTTAACTTAATATTACTCTGTTTCATAACTGAGGTGGCTAATTATATCAATTAATACAGAATCACGTGGTTAATTATTAACCTTTTCCTTACTTTGAATGATCACTATCGATATCATCACTTGCACAACTTAACTGGTAATTTTGAGCTGTTTACACCTTTCTAATCATAATAATCAGTAGTGCAACGATATTTTTAATATATTTAAGAAAATAGTGATAATCATCCTTCCATACTAGCCTTGTCATTTGTTTACATAGGTAGAGTTGATAAATTTTAAAGCCATGTATTTATTAATGTGTTGTCCTAAACAACATTTTCTTACTCAAGGTATGTCGTACCCTAGATTTTATCCAAAGTACGATAGAAACCACCATATATCCATACGGAGGCGTCTTCAGTGCACCAACTTTTTTTGGGTGCATTCGATACACACGCCTCATAATCGTCATTATTAACAAGTGATTCATCTGAAAACGATGTCAATCGTCACTTGTGGTATGATGGACAAGAAACACGTGAATTTGTGCAAAAAATATTCCAGATTTACATTAATTTGAATGATTTAGGGTTTAGGGGTTTAGGATTTGGGTTTAGGTTTACTGTTATGATATAAGTCAAGTACCATATCGATAATACAAGGGAAGAGACCCTTGTATATTAGTATCCACCTAGCCTAAGACTTTTAAGAAGGACACTCAATAGTAAAACCGTGCCGGTTTGGCCCAAAGCGGACAATGACTTGTAACTATGAAGCTATAAGGTATCATACCCTGGGGATTACGAAATAACGGAAAAGTAAAGAATATCCATATCATCCGCTTCAGCTTCTTTGGAATGAAGTAGTGAGCCCGAAGGTTTATCATATGTTCGAACGTAGGGAAAAGGGAGAAGGTTTAGAATCACTACAAGAAAATGCACTTTTTACTACGAAAATATTTGTCTCAGAAAGTCCAAAATTCGTCGCAGAAAGTATTCTGCAACGGAAGTCATCGTCGCAAAAAGGAAAAACCAGTCGTCGCGTATACAGCGTCGCAAAAAGTTCTACAACGAAAAAACCTGGTTCGTCGCAAGAAAAATCAAATTCGTCGTTGAAAAGTGATGAATCTACCACAGACGTGTAGTTGCAAAATAGTCTTCCTACAACGACAAGAACTATTTCGTTGCAGTAAATTATATCATTTGCGATCTATTCTATCGTTGCAAAAAATCAAATGCTTTTGCGACAGAGTTTTATTTAATATATTTCTATTTTTTATTTCATTTTTCGTTTCATTTTTTTTTTGAAATACAGTTCATTTTATTATTATTCATAATACTTATTTATCATTTTTTGAGATGTTCCCATTTGCTATCCGATTATGACAAGTGGTTTCAATGTCTGGTTAGGTACGGTGTATTGGACGTCAATTTGGTAGGACCATCATTCGATGGCCGCGAGGTTTGAGATCCGCTTTTGATTTGGCAGATCAAAGAGAGTTCTACATTTGGGAAATTCCTTGTATCGAGAAGCCCATTGATACAAGGTGTTTGGCGGATCAAGATAATTGTCGAGGGGAGGACACGAAGCTCGTGATCCTTTCTTGAGGAAAGATTATTGTTGGACAATCCAAGTACCACATCAATAATACAAGGAAAAGTATCCTTGTATATTAGTGTTCATCTAGCCCAATTTGTAAGAGGCCTTATGGAGAGGAAACTCAAGAGTAAAACCGTGCGGGCTTGGCCTAAAGCAAACAATATCGTAATGATGTGCAACCCGGTTTCGACAAGTGGTATCAGAGCCTGGTTCGGTTTGGGGTGGTGGATATCAGTTTGGTGGGACACTCATTTGGCTACCTCGGAATTTGAGATCTACCTATGTTTGGAGGATCAAGGGAGGTATACATTTGGGAAGTATATCAAAGAGAGTTATGCGTTTGGCAAAATCCTTGTACCGAGAAACTCATCTATACAAGGTTTGTGCAGATCAAGATAATCGCTGAGCAGAGGACACAAGGTTCGTGGTACTTTTCTTGAGCGGAGGATTGTTATGGTACAATCAAAGTACCACATCGGTAATACAAGAGAAGGGACCCTTGTATATTAGTGTCCACCTAGCACAATTAGTATGAGGTCCTTTGGTGAGGATACCCAAGAGTAAAACGGTACAGGCTTAGCTCAAAGCGAACAATATCGTACTAATCGATAATCAATTGATTAGTTGTTATTCTATGATATATCGTCATATTAGACTAATGCTACTAATTCTCGTTCGAAATTCGATTTATTATGGCCACTTTTAGAATTTGGGACATTGAATGCCCCAAATAAAAAATATATTATTATTGTGATGAAAGAAAATGGGTTGTTTGTACTATAAATGACTGATCAGAGTGCAGCGGGTTCCATACCACACAATTAATCCATCGCGACCAAATAAAAAAATAGGTCCAGTTTGGTCGAGGAAGAGAGAAGAAGAAGAAGAGAAAAAAAGAGCCATTATGTCTCGCTTCGTGTTGGACTCCAACAACTTATGGCTGGTCGGCAACTCCGACGGCACGATCGCTGTCCTCGATGGCCCGGACGTTGCCGACCTCAACCCCAAAGACGTGACCGGCGACGTGAGCAAGTGGCAGCTAATGGCTCGTATCGGGACCAACTCGGCTTCCACTCACCAGGATCTGGAAGTCTTCGGCGTCGTATTCGGGGGCCAGAAGCTGGAAGAGCTGAGGAAGAACACCTACGACGACCAAGTCACCGTGACCAGAGAAGGGTTCATGATCCGGTGGCTCAACCCTAGTGGCAGCAAGGGCCCCAAGGAAGGAAATCCCTACCGCCGCCTCAACGATCTCTTCGACTGGTCAAAGCATGGTGTTGAGGTCCCCACTCCGGTCGCAACGGAGTGGGACCGGTACCAGCTTGGTACCGGGAAGCTAATGGCGGAGGGCTCGGGTTTGGTCAACCTGGCGAAAGTCATAGAGGAGCTGGAGATGGAGAACCAGACGCTTCGGGATGAGAAGGACTTGGAGATCAGGGAGTTGAACAAGAAGCTGGTCGAGGGTAAAGGTGACGGCGGCGGTGATAATAAGTCTGCTGCGGACAAAGATAAGGAGATTGCTGTCAAAGATGAACAGATCCGTGTTCTCAAGGAGGCACTCAAACTCTTCCTCTAATTTAAGCTACTACTGTTCCTTTCCGTCCACCCGCCGGCGCTCGTTGGTTAATATGTGTGTACCCCGTACGTGCTTCATATGTGTGTTATGTTGCTGTGTTATTTCCAATTAATGAAATAAAAATTGAAGTGTGTGTTTTCTCTTAATTAGTACTGGGACACTCCGCGCATTTGCCGGCTACCAGGCTGTTTGAAAAACTACATATGGTTTGATAATGATGTTTTAATTTTTTTTTGGTTGAATATGGTCTGATCTAGGTCGTGGTTTACCAGACAAAATCGTGGATCTAGTCGACTTTCCAATACGTGTTAGCAACCCATTCAACTATCGCTCTCCCAACAAGACCCAAGTCTCTGCTTTAATTTTCTGAATCTCGTCCCCTTCTTCATTTACAACCACATTTCATCACAGTGTGTAGATACGATCGTGTCTCCATAAGACATTATCTTAGTGTTCATAACGTTATAGTGCAAGTTTGGATACTTTGGTTGAGTATCTTTGTTTGTTTACTGAGATTTAGAGTGTCAAAATTATTCATGCATGTTGGGATATAATTTATGTTTTTAGGGGAAAAAACAAAATTTTCTTGATTATGGACTCAATTTTTCATGTGACCGACTAAGCAAACACTAAAAAAAAAGATTCTATGGCGAGCTTTTTTTTCTCCTGCCTATAGCAAGGGTTAAAAATACTTTCTACAAGTTGTAGTAAGGATTTTAACAACCTCTGCATGAACCCTCGCCAATGCTGTTCCTACTACATGTAGCAAGGGTTTGTAGCAACCCATGATGAAATTTTTGTCCAAGAGTTGTAATAGGGGTCCCAAACCCCTATTAAATATATCAAGCGATTAAAACCCATGCTACACTTCAATATAAAATCCAATATCCAATAGAAAGATGCTTGTATCAGGGGTTAGCAAGAGTTAAACTCCTTGCTTAATTCGTCACTAAATAAATTTGTCAACCAACTTAGAACTGTCACTAAAGAGATTGATGAATTTTTTAACAAATTCAAAATCGTCGCTAAAGAGTACCTATAAGATTAACTTGATTGGAAATACTCTAGTCATTACACATAAATCCAGAACTAAGTTTTTTCCCTTGCTAAATACATGGGAGGAGAAAACTCATGCACGTGGGAATCTCCCTCAACATTTTTTTCATCCACTTGAGGGTCAACACGTGCATTAGTGACTTCTTGGGGCAAATTGGTGAGCAACACTCCAGGGTCACCACGTCAAATTGGTGGGAATTGAGACTCAATAAAAATTACATTTCGAGAGAAGTATTTTTTCAGTGAGTGGTATAAGATCAATTATTGAACTTTTCTCAATAACTTGAGTTATTGAGATTAACTGGTTGTTGATATGGTATCAGAGACGGTTGTGACCGAAAAGTCTTCTAGTCGAATCCCGATGACCCCATTTGTGAAGCACATGTATTTTCGTGTTCATGTAATGTGCAAACGAAAGCCCTAAAGAGTTGACTAGGTTTCCTATACAAGTAATGAAATTACCCCATCACTTCTAGAGTCTCCCTTTCTATACTGACGATCGATGGCTATTTTTCTGGGTCGGATTCATGTCCTGACTTGCAACAAAAGCTGCGGTTGAGCCAACGGGATGTGTGTAGCTTGCAAAGCACGTGAGTGAAAAGTGCTCAAACCTTAAGTTTTGTGGGCTGATGACAAGCGGAATGATGTTGACGGGGTCCGACATTGGCAAACTGCAGAAGTAAAGTTTGGAAGTTGCATGGAATAGAAGAATAGCAATGTGAGCTGTCCATGGGGATGTCCAATGACTTCGAGCAAGTGGGAAGAAGGCTAGATAGCTTGAATTTAATATCGTGGTGGTATATGCGCAATGAACTAGGTATGTGTGTCTATGGATAATTAATTAATTATTAATTAATAATATATAAAAGCCAAGAGTGTATGTTACTATTTAGGGTATGCCTACTATGACATGCATGTCATCGTGACATGGTCTTTTTGGTCGACCTAATTCTGAAGGCGGTCGACCGAATTGACTAATTTGGCAGCACGAGAAAGCATTGCGGTCGACCTCAAAGACCACCTGGTCGACCGTTCTTAGCTTAAGTTGTTATTTTTGGTTGACCAGGATAAACCTCGGTCGGCCATTTCGTTGGCGTGAGAAACAACATGGTCGACCGTAAAGGTATATAGGTCGACCACTTGATGGCAGTCATTAACAACATGGTCAACCAGATAAAGAAAGAGGTCGACCAAATAGACGATAAGTGTTCTATCAATTTATCCAATCATTTGACGTAAAATGAAGATCAAGTGTTGGTGTCGAGGTCGACCTAATCCGGTACGAGGTCGGCCGAATACAAGAAAGTCAACCTATGCCCCGTGTCTTTTTTGCTTATGTATGTCGATTTGTGTGGTTCTTTTGCTCGAATAAATTACGCTTTAAACCATCATAACTAGTCATAAATAATGATAACAAGGACTCATCAATTATGCTACGAATTGAGGTTGACCTCCTTTAGGATTATGTCGACCGCAATGTTTTCTCGTGCTGTCAAAATTAGTCAATTCGGTCGACCACCTTTAGGATTAGGTCGACCGAAAAGTCCATGTCACGGTGACATGCATGTCACCGTACCAAAATCCTACTATTTATTAGTGGCTCTCACACTCCAAGTACAAATGGGAAAGTTCCTAGTCCTTCTTTTACCCCACTCTCCATTCTACAATCTTTGTGTTTAGTTATTATTCTCTAAGTTTTCGTCTATAATTTTTTGCACAAATCATCGTTTTTTTGTTTGGTTATTGTTCGTTAGGTTTTCGTCTATTTTTTTTTTCACAAATCATCGCCTTTGTGTTTAGTTATTGTTCACTAGGTTTTCTTCTATGGCTTTTTGCACAAATCATCGCCTTTGCTCACGATTTTGCAGCCCATCTCGAAATATTGTCGAAAATTAATTAATATATAAAAACCAAGGTTGTAGGTTACTATTCATTAGTGGCTCTCACACTCCTCCAAGTACAAGTGGGGAAGTTCCAAGTCCTTTTACCCCACTCTCCATTCTACAATCTTTGTGTTTATAGTTATTGTTCGCTAGGTTTTCGTCTACAATTTTTTGCACAAATCATCGCCTTTGTGTTTGGTTATTGTTCGTTAGGTTTTCGTCTATATTATTTTTTGCACAAATATCGTATTTGTGTTTAGTTATTGTTCGCTAGGTTTTCGTCTATAGCTTTTTGCACAAATCATCGCCTTTTCTCACCATTTTGCAGCACATCTCGAAATATTATCGACAAAATTCTAATTGGTTCCCCACCACCGTTTCCCAAGGCCGCTACAACAATTTTTGTATCGGGACCGAGTTTTATCCTCTTTAGTGTTTTTTTCTTATTTTTTCCTTTTTGTTGAGTATGATCACATGGGTATACTAACTTGAATACAAATCATCGCCTTTGCCCACCATTTTGCAGTCCATCTCTAAATACTGTCGGCGGAATTCTAAGTTGTTCCCCATCATCGTTTCCCAAGGCCGATACCACGTGTTTTGTATCTGGACCGAGTTTTATCCTCTTTAGTGTTTTTTTATTGTTCCCAAGATTTTCGTTATGGCTTGTTGCACAAATCATCGCCTTTACCCACCATTTTGCAACCCATCTCGAAATATTGTCGACGAAATCATAAGTTTTTCCCCACCATCGTTTCCCAAGGCCGATACCAAGAGTTTTGTATCAGGACCGCGTGTCATCCTCCTAAGTGTTTTTTTTCCTTTTTGTTGAGCATGATCACAATTGAATCCAAATCCATGGTATCCAACCTAATTCGATCCAGTAAAAGCGACTTGAAACCAACTTTAGCATTTATAAATTTCTTTTTTCTTCTTCTTTTGGTTGGGAAGACAATTGAACCTGAATCTAAGGTTTTGACGAGTGTTGTATTGTGAGCGAGCTTTATCCGCTTTTGTAGTTGGCAGGTTGGACCAAGTGTTAATTTGTTAAAAAATTGTTCAAAGCGAGTTGAACACGTTGTTGACCAGTTTTAGATCAAAAGCTAGTTTTGTACGCTTTTTTAATTTTCCTTTTTGTTGAGAATGACAATTACACTGACCCATCGTCGACGCGTTTCGTATCGAGAGCGCGTTTTATTTGCTTTTGTAATTTACAGGTTGGGTAAATTGTGAATTAGTTAAAACTGGGTCGACCTGGTCAAAGTATTGAGAGTTTGGGGTTATGAGCTAGTTTTATTCGCTTTAGTATTTTTTTATCATTTTCCTTTTGGTTGAGAATGACAATTGAGTCCAAACGCATGGATATACAACCTAATTCGACCCGACCAAAGTGACTTGAACCCGATTTTATAGGTTTTTGGCAGGAGCGAGTTTTATTTGTTTTTGTAATTGATGTATTGTGTCAGGTGTGAATATGTCCAAAACTCGGTCCAACTAGGTCAAAGCGAGTTGAGCCTAGTGTTGAAGAGTTTTGAGTCGGTAGCTAGTTTTAGCTTAAGTGTTTTTCATTTCGCTTTTTCCTTTTGTTTGAGAAAGACAATTGAATCCAAATCCATGGTTATCCAACCTAATTTGACCTGATGAATGCGAGTTGAACCTCCTCAAACCTGCAACCAGTTCAAAAATTTCATAAAGGAGAATCACGATTATCTCCAACCCAAAAAAAAAAAATTCAAGCGTCCTGAAAGAAGTTTAAGCATAAATAATCTATTCGACGACCCCTCTACCTTATGCAAGTTCATCGACCATATGCTATTGTAAATAACAAACCTATGAAAAGAATGATTAAGAATGAAATAAGATTACTTTCACTTTTGGGTCAACATTAAAATTATTACTCCTTAAAATATTTTTGTTTGTGATACTCGAAGCGATAGCGAGCGGACTTTTGCTAGTACAAAGTAATGCTAATGTTCCTTTTCTCACCGTTGAGATGGGGAGTACAAACGTGAGATCGGGTGAGTCATATTCGGGTCGAGGGAATATGCAAAGAAGTAGAAGTGGATTGTTTGTTCCTAACTCTTTGGATCATGGGAGAATGAATTCTGATGACTACATGTTCTATGGTGTGAAGTTTTATAGGTGAAGAAGTCTCGGTGGTTCATTTGGATGACGGGGTAGCAGATTTCATAGTAAAGGAAATAAGCAATCTTGTTAGTGCCTGAGCCTGACTGTTTCCTCTTTTCCTGAGGCCTTTAATGTTGGCTGGTTGTGTAAACGGATACTGATATGATGTTCTGGAGACATTGTTTATATGCAGGCATCTTTCTTGGGTGGATTCATATCTTACTGACGCTTCACAAGCAATGAATGGATACATTATGGGTATAACTTTGGCTACTGTAGCTACCGAGCTTGACACAGATAAAGAAATACCAACTCATGTTCTATAATCAATCACCATTATTACTAATTAGCATGAGTTCCACTGATCAAGTAAATCAAAATTTGCAGGGGAGCACAGATGAACTGACAGTCCAAGTTACTAGCTAGTCCCTGCATTGATAACAACACCACCAGATCAAACTCCAGTATGTAGGCCTCGATGTTATATGCTATTCCTGCTCTATACATTTCAGCGCTCAACTCCAGGAACAAAGCGTTCTGCTCTCAAAAACATTCGATCCAGAAGAGTATGTAATTTGCTAGTCGTGCTCCTGACATGTTTCTTGACCATATCGATTATATTTACCAATATTGGCTAATGCAGAAGCAGGCTATAAAATTACCCAACTCTGAGGCCATCGATTATAAGTGCATTGAATAAGATTTCGAGTTTCTTTCTTATGGTCAATTTCCTTTGCAGGTGACTTTCTTTCTTACTATCAGGTATGTATTAGTCAAGCCCTCTAAAGCACATCTTGTCTCTATGTGTGTAGTTGTAAGCAATTTTCAATGTCCTAGTTTTTATTTCTCCAGAATTTGGAGCTATGATGTTAGGTTTCTTGGGAGACAGTTACGATGGGGTTGAATCGCATGTTTTGTGGATCAAATATTAACAAATGAGAAAGGGTGACCACACCATAATCGAAAAGCATGATCTAGTTTGGACCGTATTGTATGTGATCTGCTTGGATTAGTCTCGTTCATATAGAACGGGAATACCACGTAAATCGCTTGTGTCGTGTTTACTTTCTTATCATAACTTAGATTTTCCATGGTATCAGAGCAAGTCAATTGAAGATCCGGGACAATGAGCACAGGCAGCGCCAACGAGAGCTCGATGGTGAGCAGCGGCGGTGGTTTGACTGGTCAGATTCCTCCGAGTATTCCAGCCGGATTGAGAATCTTGGTGTCTGATAATCCTGGGCAGCTTTTTGTTGGAGAACTTCTGATATGATCCCAATTGGCAAACTATACACGTCACAATTACTTGACAAAGAAGCTATCGAAGTTGGGAAGAAGAAGGGCAGAATTTGGCTAAGTCAAAATCCGTGTTCAGGGTACATACTTTGGAGGCATGGTTCTCTCAATTGGCTTGGTGGAAATTCAATTTTAAGGGTTTTTTTAGCAGATCAAGTTTTCTTATTTCCAATGGTATGCTTTTTGGATCCGTGTGATGTCATTAAGGTTGTTTTCCAAGGCCTCAAAGTTGCTACCTCAAAACTGGAAAACTGCCAGAAAATGGTAAGTCTGGAAACTGTTTTGTGAAGCCTATTTTGGAGCTCAGTTCAAAGAGCATGGATCTGATTCGGGACCAAAGGCTTCTATAACATGAAACTAGGTATGTTTATATACCAAGTGAAGGAATTGGATGAAAGATTGAAGTTCTAGAAATCCTTGAACAAAAGGCGGGAAGTTAGTACGAAAGCTGCTTTTAGACTGTTTGCTGGCAGCTTACTTGCACTTGAAGAAAGAGAGTTTAAATCCGAATTTTGAGTCCTTTTTAGAGTAGATTTTTACCTTAATTGTTTCCTAGTTCTATTAGGTTTGTATTAGGTTTATTTGACTTTAAATATCTTTCTACTTTTGTTGTAAAACTCAGACTATGATTAATCGAAAAACAAACCCTTTGGTTTTGTGCAAGTTGCGACTTGTTTGAGTTAGGTGGATTCCAAACTTGTGATTTTGTATCGATTGAATATTTACTTCAATCATGGTCGAGCAGCTACCCTTTTATACCATACGAGCTTTCCCCAGGTGTGTAATTGTCTGTTGATTTCGTTTTATCCAAGTTCGTATTAAGAACGCTTCGTTCTTGATTCGAGCTCAATCGATTCTTCGATTGAGTCGTTTGCTGCATTACTTTGATAACATACACCCCCAGGGGCGTATTAAGTGGTATCAGAGCCCCGTTTTACACAAGGGCAAGGAAGACAAGAGGAGGACTGATTATTTTCGCGTAAAGTTTCGACAAAAATAGGGCAGCCTCTGTACGAGAAGCCTAGCTACTGTTTTGTGCCGCTGCTGTTCATGTGCTGTATTCGTAATTCCATGGCTAATTCTGTCCAGAGGAAGGAGTTTATAGAGGACAACACCGAGGTGAAGCAGCTGACAAATCGAAGTCAAGGAAAGCGAAACCCAACCTCCCGTGGCAAGGACAGGAAGGACTTCCCCGACTCTGTTTCGTCTCCGGTAAAACAGGACGTGCCAATAACTCTCGTGGTCGGAGAAGACGACGACGAGTCGAGCAAAACCTACAGTGCAGACTTGCTCCAGTTAGCATCAAGAATCTTTAACCGGGAATGGTTTGCGTCGGTTCGTGCACAATTGGAAAATCATGACCCACCAAAATTTCCACTGCAAATGGTAGAACTCGACGTGGATTTGCTTGAAGTGGTTGGAACAACTGGAGATGATTCAAAGCATACCATCGCTGCACAAAACGACCCCTGTGTTGATGCCCAGATGTCAACTGAATTGAAGGTTGCAGAGTAGCAGATGAATCCGAGATGCAGAAGGATTGGCAGCAGGTGTGAAGAAGGAAGAATGGAACGATGTCGTGTTGAAGAAATGAAGAGAAGAGATGTGAAACGTGGTCGTTTTGCTAAAGTTCAAGTAGCTGTTAATTAAACACTGTTTTGTTTTGTAATAGCCAACGTCATACTGACAAGTGGCAAACTACTGCTTATGTTGTTTATCTCCTTTCAATCGTGGTATATATACAAACCACAGCAGCCCTCCTTCAATAAGGGTGCTGCATTTCCAAAACCCTCACAAAGTTCACATGGTATCAGAGCGGCGAACGATCTAAGGCCGTCAAGATGTCCGGCGGACAAACACCGCCGACGGGAACGCCAAGATCCGATGCTACAGCAGCAGGGTCTGGTGCTCGTTTTCAATTCGGCTCATTTGATGCTCAACAACAAGATCAACGAACCGAGGTAATCACTTTTGGGAACCCATTTTACCTGAATCCAAACGAAGCATTCAATCAATCCATTGGATCTGAGCTATTTGATGGAACAAACTACACTATGTGGAGTAGATCAGTGATTATGGGTCTTAAGATGAAACACAAACTGGGTTTTGTGGATGGAAGCATTCTGATACCTCCAGCTACAGATGATCGTTATTTGTTGTGGGATGCTTGTAACACAGCAGTATTGTCATGGATTCTAAACTCTTTGCACAAAGATCTGCGAAGATCTGTTATGAATCATGTCAATGCTAAAGTACTGTGGGATGAATTGAAGAGGAGATTTGGTAAACCAAATGCTATCAAAATCATCAATCTAGAAGATGAAATCCAGGGTTGCAAACAGGGGAATTTACTATAAATCAGTATTATACCCCGATGAAAGGCTATTGGGAGGAGTATGTGCAATTTAACCCTATTGTTCCATGTAACTGTGCACCTGGAAATCCTAATCCTTGTGCATCAGTGACAGCATATACAGAAAGGCAAGAGACAGATTACTTAATCCGGTTTCTAAGGGGTCTCAATTCAGATTATGAAGTGATAAAGACTCAGCTCTTACTGCAAAAACCACTGCCAAGTGTGTCTGAAGCGGTTGATGACCTATTACAGCATGAACAGAAATTGAAAGGTGAAGCAGGGGGTAGCAACAAGAAGTCCCAGAGTGTGGCCTTGGCTGTCAATACAGAACAGAATACAGGACAGAGGCAGCAGGGCAAGAAATATTGTGAGTTCTGTAAGAGAACTAGTCACAACATAGAAGAATGTTGGACTAAGAAGAGAAAAGACAGGGAACAAAAGAATGGCAGTAACACAGGTGGTTCACAAGGATGAGGCACAACAAGATTTGATGGTTCTGTGTCACAAGCAAGCTCGGGTGAATCACAAGGTGAAGGAAGTGTGACAGGGGAAACATCAGAAGGAAGTCCTGTAAGTTCTGCTACATCTGTGGTAGGTTTTACACCTGAGGAGATGAATAGGCTAAGGCTCTTGATGCAATCTAGTGCTAGCACAGTCCATTCACCACCACTCTCACCTTCCATCTCCCATAATGCCTATTCAGTGTCACAGTTTCTTCCACCCTTTCCAAATTACTTAGGTAATTATGTTCTCTCCACCCATTCCAACCTTACCAACACCAATATGATTCATTTATGGATTCTAGACACAGGAGCCTCGGATCATATATCGTGTTCTTTAGCTCTCTTTACTGAGTCTCAACCAGTACTTAACACTTATGTGTACCTACCAAACTCAACTAAGGTTCTAGTTACACATATAGGTACAGTAAGGTTGCCCTCAGGTTTACACTTGTATAATGTTCTTCTGGTTCCAAGTTTCTCTTTTAACCTTGTCTCAGTCAGTAAACTCACACGAGATTGTCCCCTAGCCTTACACTTTCATTCTGATTTGTGTCAAATTCAGGACCTTCTAAGCAAGAAGATGATTGGTTTAGCAAGAGAATCTAGAGGTCTATACCAGCTTTCTTTCCAACCATTTCAAGACAAAATGAATACTCCATCACTCCCAGAAGCAGCCACCACTTTCAACTTCAATGCACATCATTTTGACCTCTGGCATTGGAGACTTGGACACCCTAGTAGTGATAGGATTTCTCTTTTACAACAAACTGATTCCACTGTTTCTAGTTCTAAGATATCCCACTGTGATGTTTGTCATTTCTCTAAACACAAACGACTTCCATTTCCTGTTAGCACTAGTACTGCAAATGATTTGTTCCAACTTGTCCATGTTGACATTTGGGGGCCTTTGTCTGTTCTCTCTTATGATGGTTATGCCTATTTTCTTACTGTTGTGGATGATTGTTCTAGAGCAGTTTGGGTGTTTTTAATGAAACACAAAGGTGAAGCAAGAGAGTTACTTAAGGGGTTCTGTCAACTGGTTAGAAATCAATTTGGAAAAATTGTCAAGACAGTTAGAAGTGACCAGGGAAGGGAATTTTGTTTGTGTGATTTTTATATGGAGAATGCGATTGAGCATCAGATGTCTTGTGTGGAAACCCCTGAACAAAATGCACGAGTGGAAAGAAAACACCAGCACATTTTGAATGTTGCACGATCTTTAAGGTTTCAATCAGGTCTTCCTCTCAAATATTGGAGTGACTGTGTTTTACACTCAGTCTACCTTATCAACAGAATACCCACTCCAGTATTACAAAATAGGTCACCTTATGAAATCTTATACAACAAACCACCCTTTCTTGGTCATTTGATAGTCTTTGGTAGCCTTTGTTATGCTAGTACACTGAGTCATGCTAGAACTAAATTTGATGCAAGAGCTCGATAGTGTATCTTTTTGGGGATACCTCCAAGCATCAAAGGTTACAAGCTCTTGGACCTTCATGACCATAGATTTTTTTGTCTCTAGGGATGTAGTGTTCCATGAGGCCATTCTTCCCTTTCGACATAATTCTTCAGAACCACAAACTGGTTCTCCATCAATCTCACCTTCTTCTTCACCTAATGTCCCTTCTCCACCACTCCAAGTCCCTCTACCCTCTCATTCTCACTCACCCTCTGATGATGGGGGGCAGACCTGTCCTAAAACAGTTGAACTTCCAGTGAACTCCCCAGTTGAAGCAACCAATTCTCAATCTCCATTCCAAGATTCCTCTGCTCATTATGGTGAACATGACCCTGAACTGGAACCTCAAGCTGAATTTGAGGAACCAACAGGTAGACCACCCAGGAAACATCACCTTCCAGCTAAATACAGTGATTGTGAACTTGATCCTAGACTGAAGTTTGGTGGATTTGGTTCTGTGGCAACAACAAGCAGACATCCAATTTGTTTCCATGTTGATCATCTCAACCAGGTTGACAAAAGGTATGCACTAAGTGTTTTGTCTCAGATGGAACCACGATCATATGCAGAAGCTGTGAAATTTATTGAATGGAAAAGAGCAGTAGAAGCTGAGATAGGGGCTTTGGATGAAAATCAAACTTGGGAGATAGTGTTGTTGCCTGATGGATCAGTAGAGAGGTATAAGGCCAGGTTGGTAGCCAAGAGTTATACACAAGTGTATGGGATTGATTTTTTGGATACATACTCTCCAGTTGCTAAGATAAACACAGTGAAAGCTTTATTGGCAATAGCAGCAGTTAAAAACTGGACACTAGACCAAATGGATGTTTCTAATGCTTTCTTACAAGTAGACCTAGAAGAGGAAGTGTATATGAAGGTTCCTGAAGGTATTGATATACCAGTTTCACTGTTGGGAAAAGAAGGACAGATTGCTTGCAGGTTAAAGAAATCCTTATATGGATTAAAGCAAGCTTCAATGCAATGGTTTGCCAAGCTTACTGGATTCCTTTTGAAAAGTGGATTTTCACAGTCAAGCTCAGACCACTCAATGTTCACTAAGTGGATAAGAGGAAGAGTTGTGATTGTATTGGTTTATGTAGATGATATTATAGTAGGTGGTGATGCACCAGTTGATATTGAGCAGGTCAAGAAGGCACTGAGTAGAGAGTTTAAAGTGAAGTTACTGGGACCTCTAAAGTATTTCCTTGGACTTGAAGTGACAAGAAATGCAGAAGGGCTCTCAGTCTGCCAAAGGAAATATTGTATGGACTTGTTGCAGGACACTGGATACATTGAGGCAAAGGGCTGTCAGTCTCCAGCAGATCCTAAGATCAAATTGACAGCTACTCAAGGTACAAGACTAGAAGATGCATAATCATACAGAAGATTGGTAGGAAGACTACACTACATAACAATCACCAGGCCAGACTTGACATACTCAGTTCAACAGCTTTGCCAATTCCAAAAGGATCCTCATAGTGAACATTTGCAAGCAGCTTACAGAGTGCTTAGGTACTTGAAGAATTCACCTGGACAAGGGATATACTACAGCAGCAAGGCAGATCTGAAACTTGTAGGTTTTTGTGATTCTGATTGGGCTAGTTGCCCTGAAACAAGGAGATCAACCACTGGTTATTGTACATTCCTGGGAAGTTCAATCCTGACTTGGAAAATAAAGAAGCAAAATACTGTTTCGAGGTCATCATTAGAGGCTGAGTACAGAGCATTGGCTTTGTTATCTTGTGAGGTGCAATGGTTGAGGAATCTGCTGGCAGAGATGAGTGTGCAGGTACCATTACCAATCTCGATATACTGTGACAATCATTCTGCAATACATATTGCAGAAAATCCCGTGTTTCATGAAAGAACGAAACACATAGAGATTGACATGCATGTTACAAGAGAAAGGATTAAGTTGGGGTTGATTAAATTGCACCATGTAAGTACTGTTAACCAGTTGGCAGATTTATTCACAAAGGCAATAGACTGAGTAAGACTGAAGGATCTGCTTGACAAGTTGGGAGTCAAGATGACATCCACAACTTGAAGGGGGGTGTCAACTGAACTGAAGGTTGCAGAGCAGCAGATGAATCCGAGATGCAAAAGGATTGGCAACAACTGTGAAGAAGGAAGAATGGAACGATGTCGTGTTGAAGAAATGAAGAGAAGAGATGTGAAATGTGGTCGTTTTGCTAAAGTTCAAGTAGCCATTAATTAAACACTGTTTTGTTTTGTAATAGCCAACGTCATACTGACAAGTGGCAAACTACTGCTTATGTTGTTTATCT